TACATACACAGTTCAGTGACATTGACTACGCTCTTCCAATTGTGCTGTTATTCTCACTTAAGATGAAGGCTTACAGAACAAAATAGTTTTTCATTTAACAGTTACTATAAATGTTGCCCTATGACAATGGTTAACAATCTCACAACACATCAACAATATCCTTACTCAACCTTGTGTTCCCTATCACCAGCTTCCTTAACAAGTTTTTCTTAAGAAGAGTTACTCATCTTCTTGTATGTGATTAAATTTATTTTAAAATAGGCTGTTTATTAGTATTTTAAATGGAAAATTCCTTTCATTTATCATAATATAAATTGTTAAAATATTAAAGGGAGGGGGACTTAGAAAGTGTTAGTGATATAGAGGTGTTAAAACCCTCCAGACCCAGTTTGAGCATTTCACTTGAATTAGTCAGGGTTAAAAGAGAATTGAAAGTAGAATGTCTTTCTCATCTTGTGATTTAACATTATTTAATGTCATCTGAAGTCTACTCAAGCACCACTCCAGTAATGACTCCCTGACTTTTCGAAACCTTGTTCCAATTCAACTCTTAAGGAACCTGCTCAAAGGGACCACACAGCTAAATAAAGACAAAGCTGATATTAACCCCCAGGCCTCTGAAAGTAGCAAACCATTGGAGGCCAACACATTTTTCTTGACTGTATACAAATGCAAACCTAATTTTGCTGTTCCCTTGCTTAAAATCCTTTGATGCCTGTCTGCTACTTCAGGATAAAATGGAAACCCCTTGTTGCAGTATCTTACCTGACCCTCCTCAAAGAATGCGAGATCTTTTTAGATTTATTTTCTCATTTCAGCTGACAGACTTTTCATGTTACGGTTTTAGAATGAAGCTCGCAAATTAAATCATCAGGAAGTGGTGGAAGAAGATAAAAGGCTTAAGTTACCTGCAAATTGGGAAGCCAAAAAAGCCCGTTTGGAATGGGAATTGCGGGAAGAAGAAAAGAAGAAGGTTAAGAACTACCCTGCTATCTTCATAAGTGGTTTATTCAATCGGTGTATTGTACTGAGACTGTGTAATGTGGTGCTTGAGTATACTGGCTCTGGAGCCAGACTGCTAGATTGCAGTTCCTCACTCTGCTCTTCACTAGCTGTAACACTCTGGGCGAGTTATTTATTCTTTCTGTGCTTCTGTTTTCTCATCTGTTAATTATGAATTAAATGAGTTAATGCATGTAAAACATTTAAAGCAGAGTCTGATACCTGATAAACAGTATTATTTTTTAAATTGATGTGTTCACTTCTTATATACCATAGCAGATACCTAAATTTCCTTTGAATATTAATCATTATTTTTAAGATGTTGCTTGATATCTTTATTGGATCTTTCTTGATTTAATATAAATCATTGCCTGTGTCACAGTTGCAGGTAGCATGGCTCTTTTTGTTTCCTTTTTCTCTTTTTAGGAATGTGCAGCAAAAGGCGAAGACTATGAGAAAGTGAAGCTGTTGGAGATTAGTGCAGAAGATGCGGAAAGGTGGGAGAGGAAGAAGAAGAGGAAGAACCCCGATCTGGGATTTTCAGGTAGAACTGCCCTTTCTTTTATTAAGTGTTGCCTTCACTGTTTCTGGTTTCAAGGGAGGGTATGCCCCCTGTATTTCCTTCATGGAATATTCTCTAAGAGGTCTAAACCCAGGAAAAATACAAATATGTCTCATATGACAGACGTAAAATGCTGGATTATTTTATTCTTTCTGGTAGAATTAGTCAAAGCCCATATCGTCAACATCTTCAGGATAGAAGCTATGCTTAGATTAGTTTCTTTTACATATATTACTTAATAGTTTTGATTTTTCTCCGACTAGTAATGCTCAAACAAGGAAATACATAATTTCTGACATTACTTTTATTTTTAGATTATGCTGCTGCCCAGTTACGTCAGTATCATCGGTTGACCAAACAGATAAAACCTGACATGGAAACGTATGAGAGAATGAGAGATAAACAGTAAGTTGACAGGATTAATTCAAGTTCCTTTTTCATCACGAGATGGTATATCTGTGTTTGTGTGTGTACAACAGACACACGCACAGAAATGCAAACACACTTTAATGCTGAGGTGTGTGTTATCAACAGCTAAGAGAGTGGTCTCTGATCTTGACAACACTATTTATTGCTCATTCCTTAGCAGTTAAGCCAGCCACTGGGTTTTCTTTCTAGGCGAGCCGTCTAAGACTGGGTGTTGAATGGGTAATACCCAGAATAATACCCAGATTACCATAGTTACTTAGGTATTATTTTTGGAGACAGAATGTGTTAGTGAGGGGTGGGTGAACTGGTAAAGGGCCAGTTAGTAAATACTGTAGGTTTTGTGGTCCACCTAGTCTCTGTCATAGCCAAGCAGCTTTGCTGCTGTGTTGTGAAAGCCCCCACGGAGGCTGCGGAGATGAATGGGCGTGGCTGTGTTCTAATAAACTGTTTATAAAAACAAGTGGCAGGCTGTAGTTAGCTGACCCCTGCTTTAGTGGAAAGAGAAATAACTTGACCTAGAAGTTCTAATCCCAGCTTTGGGTATTTGGTAAGTCCTCTAACTCTGGCCCTGGCTTCTTGTTGGAGTAGGAGTAGGAGGTGTTCTAGTAGATGATTTCTTAGGTCCCTTCCAATTCTGTACTTTCTTTTTCCTAAAAAAAAATTAAGGTAGGACCTCACAGTAAATATATGTACATATTTTGTCTGTCATCACGAATGCTAGTTTAGTTTGAAATTTGACAATGTGTTGCTGTAAGTCCATTTTGCTGTCTTTTCAGTGGAGAAGAGTTTTTCCCGACGTCCAATAGTCTTATTCATGGAACACATGTGCCTTCCACAGAGGAAATCGATAGGATGGTCGTAGATCTGGAAAAACAGTGAGTACTCAGTAGAGCAGCCTAAAGTGAGGACAGAGTGGATATAATGTGCTGAGAATGAATTGAGCAGACAGAAACTGTGCTTGCTAATTTCATTATGTATTTCTAAAAGGTAAAGACTTAAACAAACAAACCACAGTGTTGTTATCACAGCAATACTTATATTTTAATAAAAAGTCCAGGGAGACATTTTTTGATACGTGCTGATTAAAATGCTAAATACCTAAGTAGGATGTTCTTAGTTAAGAAAAATTTGAAACTCGGGTATGGATTGAGTTCAAATGATTTGGAATGGAGATGCAAAATATTGATGAAATTGAATTGTTAAAATGGAAGGGGAAAAGTCTGAAGAAAATTCTTCTTTAAAGGCTTTTTCTTTAACAGCTACCCCACTATTTGATTTGAAGAGGCAAGAATGTGCTGGTAAATGTGCCTCAGTTATATTTGTGTTTTTTTTTTTTTTTTGTGCTTTAGGTGAAAGTTTACAGCTCAAGTTAATTTCTCATACAAAAATTTATACACATTGTTCTGTGATCCTAGTTTCTATCCTTATAATGTGACCTTCTTTCCACCCCAGATTTCCTGTGTCTATTCAGCCAGCTCCTATCCCTTTTGCCTTCTCATCTCGCCTCCGGACAGGAGCTTCCCCTTTAGTCTCGTGTATCTACTTGAACTAAGAAGCACACTCTTCACGAATATCATTTTTATGTCTTATAGTCCAGTCTGTTCTTTGTCTGAAGAGTTGGCTTTGGGAATTGTTTTAGTTCTGGGTTAACAGGGATTCCGGGGGCCATGTCTTCTGGGGTTCTTCCAGTCTCAGTCAGACCATTAAGTCTGGCCTTTTTACTAGAATTTAGTTCTGCACTCCACTTTTCTCCTGCTCTGTCAAAGACTCTCTCTTGTGTTCCCTGTCAGGGCTGTCATGGGTGGTAGCCGGGCACCATCTAGTTCTTCTGGTGTCAGGCTGATGGAGTCTCTGGTATATGTGACCCCTTTTGTCTCTTGGGCTAATATTTTCCTTGTGTCTTTGGTGTTCTTCATTCTTCTTTGCTGCAGGTGGGTTGGGACCTGTTGAAGCATCTTAGATGGCTGCTCGCTAGCGGCCCAGATGCCACTCACCAAAGTGTGATGCAGAATATTTAATAAACTTTGTTACATCAGTTAACCTAGATGTCCCCTGAAGCCATGGTCCCTAGGCCCCTGCCGCACTGTCCCTCAAAGTGTTTGGTTGTGTTCAGGAAACTTCTTAGCTTTTGGTTTAATCCAGTGGTGCTGACTCTCCCTGTATTATGTACTGTCTTTCCCTTCACCTAAGATAATTATTGTCTACCATCTAGTCAGTGACTTCCTTTCTCCCTCCCTCCCCACCCTGGTAACCATCAAAGAATGTTTTCTTCTGTGTTTAAACCTTGAGTTATTATAATAGTGGTGTCATACAATATTTGTCTTTTTGTGACTGACTAATTTCACTCAGCATAATGCCTTCCAGAGTCATCCATGTTATGAGATGTTTCACAGATTCATCATTGTTCTTTATCGTTGTGTAGTATCCATTGTGTGAATATACTATAATTTGTTTATCCATTCATCCGTTGATGGGCACATAGGTTGTTTCCGTCTTTTTGCTATTGTGAACAGTGCTGCAGTGAACATGGATGTGTATATATGTATTTGTGTGATGGGTCTTATTTCTCTAGGATATATTCCAAGGAGTGGGATTGCTGGATCATATGGTACTTCTATTTCTAGCTTTTTAAGGAAGTGCCAAATC